TCCTCTGTTATCTGCTTCTCCTTCCCTGCAGCTCTTCCTCCTCTCCCTTTTACTCTGCTTTATCACTCTGTATCTTCGGACTCTTGCTGACACCTCACTTCGTTGGGCCACTGCAGCTGGATAAGTTTTGGCTTCTGCTCGCTGTTTACTAACCAGCTGATCCTGCTGTTTTTGCATGCAGCAGCCGGGCGATTTTGAATCAATTATTTTTAACACTGCAAAATCGACAGTTTTCTATCATGAGCGCCGGGGTTTGTAATAGGCCTCTATATGAAAACAAACTGCAAAAGCAAGCACTTACAAAGTCAAGTGTCTAATAGCTTTCAGAGGAATTAGCAAATCCAGCGAACAGGCCAATTTATCAAGACATCATTAGCATTTATGTCAAATAAATTCTTATATGTATATTATGAATGTTACAATTCCCTATATTTGCTGTCAAGAGGTTCTAATAAATCCTCTCTATGTGACGAGTTTCACCATTGCTGGGATGCATGCATCATGCATCTTAAAAGAATTTCAAAATGCTTTCAGTTTAGAGAAAGAATGAATAAATATTCCACTACAGCAGATTCTTAAGAAAAAGGTCTGCTTTGATGACTTTGTCTGCTTTCCTGTGGAGCATCATCTGCAGCACATCGTCTCCCCTTTTACCCACATCTGTAAATCTCTGTAGAGGAATCCTGTCCTATTTCTAGGATCACCAGGAGTCGATAAAAAAATGAAAAATTCCAAAGTGTGAAAATGACGTGGCTCATTATTTTTTTATTACAGCGTCATGAGCCGCAGGTTCTGTGAATGATGCAATGAGTAAAAGTCAGGTTTTGTCTGTTCCTCTCTATCGGTTCATCACAGCAGCTACAAGATCTTTGGCGAAGGTAACAAACTGTGTGACATTTTTCAGAGGTCCCTCTTTAACAAGTCTCTACCTGCAGGATGCAATAAAACCAATACAACGTTACATTACATACATAACAGTAGTAATGTAATGGTGGCAATCTGGGATATGTGCAGTGACATCACCAGTGGGATCACAAGTGCTGATAGTGATAGTCAGTTTCTGTGTTTATTGTTTTTTCCTGTGTTTATTATTGTCTCAATAGACGCTATAATGCTAAAAAGGAGAGAGCTGGATTAAAAAAGAAAAACGTATGTAGCAGAGACAGGGACATTTAAGTGCACCTGTTTAAAAAATGGAACATTTTTGCAACAGCAGCACAAAAATTAATAGGAGTCATGTAGTAGTAATGTTTTTCTTAATTGCTTTTGAGTTAGCAAGTGTGCGCATGATGCTTATTGGGATTAATGAGACAGACCACATAGGAGCATTAATACCAACCAGATTAAGTTGGTCAGTCTGGGCAGGATTGCTAGCCTCGGGCTGAGAGAAGGCAGGTTGTTTAATCGGATCTCATGTTTTTTCAAACTTTACTTAAACAGAAAAGAATTTGCAACCTCAAACATCTTAAACTCTCCAGCTTCTCAGCCACCTAAGCAGCTTTTATCATTCCTGAGCATTTTCCTGTTCTCTTTTCTCTCTTCTTAGTTCTCCAGTCTCTCATTTTTCCCAATTGCTTCCCTTTTGAAATATTTCCTGCGTACGTTAAAAGAGAATAATTGACAGCATATGTTGGAAAATGTGTTGAGTGTCACACTCATGAGTCTGATCTCGTAGAAGCCTTGTTTCTCCAGTTTTTCATTGTGATGGTTTCACTTCAGTTGAAATAATATCTACTATCTTTGAGTTTATAAAGCCCTTCAAACTCATCAGAGTAACTTTCAAAGTACTCCTTTATCTGAGCTTAAAATGACAGCTGACATACATTACTGCATCATCTTAATCCACGCTGAAGGTTATAAATGTTTGCTGTGTGTGTGTGTGTGTGTCCCGTTTCCTCTGATGTTTAGAGCCATAATTGCACTTAGAATAAGTGAGATCATACACAGTTTTCTGCTGCTGGCACTTTTTATTCCAGCAGAAGGAAGATGTCAACATCAATGATCCCAAATGCCATTAAAAAACTGCACTAAATCTGTGGGTGGACTGCCTACCCTCGCACAAAAACACATCATTATCTTTCTTGTGTTTTGTGGTTGTGCTGCTGTATATTAATTTCTATTCACTCTATATTCCCGACTCCAAACACTCCCACGTTGCGGCGCTCACTTAAATCTGACACCTGCCAAACTTTACGGTGAACCGCTCGCGTGTTTAAATGAGTTTACCAGGCATGAAAGTTGTGCAGCAGCCATTAGAAAGTCATAAAAACAGATCCCATCACCCTGCAAGGTCTACTACTTTACCATATGGAAGACTATTTAAATGGAGGTAAGATAAGCAGCCTGAGGACACTCAGGATATTTCACACAAACAATGATAATTTAAAAAGCCTCAATTCCTTCTATTTTCTTATACAGTGGTATTAGTCTTGTTAAATACTTTGCTAATTAGATGCTAATTTGTCTGTTGTTTGGTGCTGGGAAACAGCTGCCTTTTGCAATTGGAAGTGCTGATGAGAGTGGAATGGAAACTAAAAGTTGTGAGCCTTCAAATTCAAGACACTGAGCTGACGGATGAACGTTTAGACTTTAGGGGTTGAGCCAAGACATAATTTGTGCTTCTTAGAAGAAAAAATGTCCAACTTTACAGTAGAAATTAACATTTATAGGCTGAAACAAACAAAGTTCAGGCCTTCACAGCTTTTTTTGTTCTTTGATTACAACTGTACATTTTACTGACTAATTTGTATTGAATGGTACAAAATATACAAGAAGTTTGTGCTTAATTTTTGTTATTACTCACAAATGAGTAGATCTTCCTACACGTTGCACCTACTGGAGCTACTTGGCCATGGAAATCAATGCAATCAAGCTTCTGGTGCAGATTTTGTGCAGATGTTAATGGCAGAGGAGCTCTGCAGTTACTGAGTGAGGAGACTTTTACACACTATGTGCCCCAGCAGTTGCTGTGGTTTCTAAACACGTCGACTTTACAATAATGCCACTTACAGCTGATCTGACTTTGTCCATATGATGTACAGATCTGGATCGGTCTATCAATTCATCTTGCCATATGTCTAAATGTGGTCGCACAGGTGTAGAGACTGGTCGGCGAGCTGGCCACCATAGGTCTCTGGGGAAAAGTGTGTATTCCATGACCAGTTGTGAAGTGGTTGCTCGCGGTTGATGGCAACTGCTAGGTGAAGCTGGTAGAACAAACAGGTATAGAGTGCTGCACCCAAAACCTTCTAGCAATTGTTTTGATCACTCGCAGGGTTGCCTGTAAAAGATTGCAAAATAGTTGTGAAATGCACAATGTAAACTGGAAGAAGTGATCATTCACCACAGTGCAAAAGTTCAGACTTTTGAAATATGCTGGTAATGCACAGCTATCGCTTTAAAGGTGACGTTTTGGAGTGTGTATTCATCAACCGGGGAATACACACTTTGCCCTCGCGATCAGAGATGAATGACCGGTCTTTCGATCTTCGTAACTGAGGCTAACATCTTTCATAAAGAGCCTGAAATCCTGAAAACAACTTTGTTTCTCCCAATTTAAACCTTAGTTTATTATTCTTATACACAGCATTCATTCTTGAGACAAATATTTCACCATTTATTCTTTCTAGCTTGTTGTCATCTGCTTCCTTATATTGCTAGGCAACCATACATCACCAGGAAGGAATCCATATTGTTCCGGGAAGTTCAACTCCAAGCTTTTTTCACCTCACTGACACTGCTGTTTCTCTAAAGCTGCTCAGTGTCTGTGGGGGTGTGTGTCTGTGTGTGTGTTAGAGAGCTGAGTGGAACATGGGGAGTGTGTTTTGGGGTAAAGGAATGGCTGAAAGGGGGAGCGTGTCTGTGTGTGTGTGCACCAAGAGAAAAAGGGGGGAGGTGGGGGTTAGGAATCTGTTTACAATGGCCTGAGGGAGCTGCCGGAGAGGGAGAATCAGTCTGATATTTGGAGGTAGAGTGCGAGAGAGTGCGTGTAACACAAAGAAAGAGAGTTTTGGAGAAGGAATAAATGAAAGAAGAGGAAGGGATGGAGCCCTTGGGAGGATTAAATACAAGCTGAAGGAGTCATTTAAGGCACAAGTTGAACCAGGAGTCACAGGAGGGAGATTGCAGGTTGATGCAAAGCAGCAGCCGTCCCTGATCTCCACTTTCAACCATGCAAATAAGATTTAGTTTAGTTGCATGCATGCAGCAGAAAGCAAGTTTATGCATGCATTTATATCTTTTTGTTATTTTTGCTCTTCTGTGTTTTCAGAGTTTGAGGAGCAGTTGTACGACACCAAGCTGACCGGTCAGACTTTCCGGCATCCGTCCTCACAGAGCTCCGACGACACGTCCACCTCCCTCAGCCGCTCGCCCATCTCCCTCAACAACAAGAGGCCCGACTTCATCTTTCTGGTAAACACACACAGACGCACGCATGCAGGCTCATGTTTACACCCATCTTATTTGATCAGGAGGCTCCGTCACACCAAAATGTCACCTCTCTGCTGAACAAACACCCAAGCTCAGATTTTATATGCAGCTATTTGAAGCTGCGCATCTTTAACAAGCAAACGCAATAAATAATCTCCACCTTTCCTATTTTAAACTCGCTCTTTTTTCCACCTCTTAAACCTGTGAAACCTGACTTCATCCTGCCTGTGCTAAATGCACACACACACACACACACACACACACTCTGTGTCCACTTCACTTATCTTCTTCGTTTTTCTCTCGGAACAGCAAGACACCAGACTTCACATTCCCGCTAAACTCCTGCTAACCTACTGCAGCCGACTCCATCTGCCCTTTTGTGGTCCTGTTTCCACTCTTTATTATTTCTCTATTGTTTCCAATCAGTGCTTGATATTCATTTTATGTTACCTGCCTCATTTTAAAGGCTTTTCCCCCTTTACAATAAAATTATAGGCAGTATAAATCTGTCTCTTTTCTCCATTTCATTATTTTTCGATCATCCTTGATACAATATCCCACAAAAGCCCATTCCTTTGATTAAATCTGGTGTATCTTGCCATTTCATGCTCACTGGAATCATCATTTTAGTTTGATTTATCGACCTTGAGAGTGTGGCTATAAATAAAATTGTAATCCTCAAGACTTTTTCAAAATATGAAAATGGTGAGCGTTTTTCAAGCAACAGCTTTTTATTTAGTTCATTGTTTTTTCTTTCTGTGGTTGTGTTTTTTATGCAGGACTTTTTGTTATTGTTCTGGGAGTTAGCTTTGTGTTGCAAGATCTGAGATGCGCAGATTAGCCACAATGTTAAAAGTCAAAGGAGCTTGCAAAGAAAAGCGTCTGGACTTCTTTAAGTTACTTGAAGACGTTTCACCTCTCATCCGAGAGGCTTCTTCAGTTCTAAGGTCAAATGGTTGAGAGTCCCAGATATAACCCTAGTGGGAGTGTCCCCCCACAGAGGGACAAAAGGACCCCCTGATGATCCTCTAATCGCCTGAGCCAAGGTGTGGAACTGGG